CCATCAACAGCCTCCAGAGTCAGCAACTGAAACAAAGGCTTCCAAAATGGAGAAAAAGCTTTCAGGCATATATTTAATATGCCACATAACATGGCGGTGCACTGAAATTAACAACAAATAATTAAAGTATTTTATGATGGAGAGATGCAGAATAACAGTCCATCAGACTACTTATGGTCCATTATGCTTTGGTATGTTGGAGAGTAAACACAGGAAAAAAACAGTAAATGGGCTTTCATATGGTGACATAGAGTTGCTTTAGTGAAATACTGATCAAAACACCACTAAATTAAAAAGACAAAGTGTGATGTTTTATTTTACCAAAACATTGCTTACAAAGACTGCTTTAACACATTTGTGTCAGCACCTTTAATCTTCACCTTGTGTTTGAAAGATACTAAGATGTGCTGCTGGTACAATTAATTTTTGCTGGAGGCTAGACCAGTACAACAAGATGAGAAACAATTGTAAAATGCAGATTTTTAAAGTGTGTGATTTTCTGCAAAAGTGGTGTGCTAAAAAGAAAATTCAGAGCAGTTTTGAATATTCTGGGCTTTAGGTCCCCCCTCACATACTGAACAGCAATGCAAATTAGGATGGATGCTGTTGAAGTTTATAGCTTTGTTAGAATTTAGCTGATTCCTGAGCACTACTCTAAGTACATTTTAAGATATTCAGTGAACATGCTTAAAATGAATAATGTGCTTAACAGCTTTCTGAAGCAAAGACTGAAGGTTCTCAAAATAGTTTTAAGGCCTAAACAAAAAATGGAAGTCCTTTTATTATTTAGTTATCTGTCTTGAACCTAAAAAAGGTTATGTGTCTCACATTTAGGTTTATGTTAAATTTCACATAGGTAAGATTAAATGAGATTATTTTCACACACATCATAAAACTAGAAAAGTTAAAATAATGTAATGTAGATCCTGAACTGAGATATTAAAAAAAATTAATCTCATGACTTGGACACACAAGCAAGTCTGTGCAGCAGTCCTGCTTGCTTATTTTTAAATTGTTCTTTATATTGTCTCACATATGAAAAATACCATTTAAAAATCTGTAACAAAGGAAACTGAAAAGTTAATAGTTGTTATCCTTAGTACTCTGTACTCAGTCACTGTTTTTTCCACTGGATGTCTACCTTAAGACAGCTACTTCTAGAAAACTTTCCTGAACATGCTTATGAAAACTGAAGAGTAAGTGTCAAAGCTTGTTTAGATGACTGCCCAAGTTTTGTCCAGGACAGAGTTATCTTTTTACAGTAGCCAGGAGTGGCGGTGTGTGCCTGTGGTCCCAGCTACCGGGAGACGGAGCCCACCAGATCGGACTGCCTGGACCCAGGAGTTGTGGGCTGCTGTGTGCGCTGCTGAGCAGGCCTGACCACCACCCAAATGTTGTTGAATAACATTTTACATCACTGCCAGGAACGGGGGAAAAGGACTTTTTCTCTGGTTTCTGGAAAGAAAGGCATTCCTTTGCCAGTTGGAAGAAAGTGTGGTGTGGTGTGGAAAAGCTGGTTGGAATTGGTCATGGGCTTTCTGTGTAAATAGCTTTTGCCTTATACCTTTTGTTATTAATATTTTTTCTGTTACTGTTAACTCTTTTTTTTTTTTTTTTTAATCTCATTTCTGTTTCCAGTAAATTGTTCTTGTCTCAAATTGCAATTTTCACCCCTTTGTGCCTCCAATTCTCAACTCTATCCCTGGGGCAGGAAGGGGGATGGAAAGGGATGTGAGTGAGCAAGTGGAATCTCGTTTGGGAGAGTCTCAGAGGGTACTAAATTGGGAGTGTCATTGCTAAACCATAACAATGACTTTGAAGCACATCTCTTTCTACATTAAATTTACTGTCTTGTCAAAGAAGGAAATTATATTGCTTCAGCATAATATGCTCCTGATTTTTTAACCAATTTATTAACTTCTTGATCTTGATAAATTGATTTCTAATAATGTATTTTAGTACATTTCTTAGAACCACAGCTAGTCTCATCTAATCATTTTCTGGATCTCTTCTTCATAAAAAAAGGTATAACACCTTCCCATACCCACTGTTTCTTTACCTTACAAGACCTCCATAAGTTATTGGAAAGAATCACTAATAGTCCACACACAGATTCAGCAAGTCCTTTGAACACACTACAGTGAATGCTATCAGATCATTTCCATCAAATTCACGTAGTGAAACATTAGTTAGGCAATTACCCTCTGGTAAAAATTGATTTTCTTTAATAGGTGGTCAGATAACTACTTTTGATGAAGTAAAAGAAATCTTTTCTGTATCATCTGCTCTCTTTTCCTCCTAACTAAAAATCAGAGGATGTTACTCTAATGACAATTTTTTGTTACCTTTTATACTATTATGTGCTTTAACCTTTCTGACATCCTGTAGATTGACTCTGCTCTTCTTTTCTACTTTCAGTCATGGTGTTTTGATTCCACATTTTGTACAATTCCTTTTCAATTATTAGAATGTTAGAGAAAGTTGATGCTGTCATATTATTTCTTTGATTTTTTTTCTGCTTCAGAAGAATTTTCTGTTCTACCTTAAGCACACTCAGTGCAAGATTTTCTGCACTTCTTTTGTCCTTCAAATTTCTTTCCAAGAATCTTCCTACTCACCAGATCTCTGAGCTCATTTAATTCTGTCCTTTCTGAAATCCAATATCCTCTTTCTACTTACAGTCCTTCCTTTTAACAGTGACTATTTTGTGACCACTACATTTTTGACCAATAATCTCTTAGTGCAAATCAAATCTAATGTAACCACTTCCCTCGTGTCTGTCTCAGTGTTGTGGGTGGATCCTGGCCAGCAGCTAAGCACCCACAGTCACTGTCTCACTCCCCTACCATTGTCCCCTATCAGGATGAATGAGAGACCAAAAGTTAAAAAGCCTCACAGATTGAGATATTTGCAGTGTAATAGGGAAAGGGAGAAGGGAAAAAAATCCAAGTGATGCAAAGGCATCACCTCCCATAAGCAGTCCAGGCAATCTCCAAGCAACAGCTGCTTTGGAAGAAAAATCTTCCCAATTTTTATTTCTAACTATATGAGAGAATATCCCTTTGGCCAGGTTGGGTCAGCTGTCTCAGATCTATTTCTTCATAACTTCTTGCCCACACCAAGCCTATTAATTACAAAAGCAGAATAGGAAAATGAGAAAATCATCAGGCTGTGCAAGCACTGTTCAGAAACAGCCAAAACATTGGCGATTTTTAGCAACAAATCCAAAACACTTACAGGATCCTATGCAGAAAGTTAGCTCCATCCCAGTCAGATCCAGTTACAGTATTCTGAAATAAGTAAATATTCCCAGTGTTGCCAAAACTTTATTAATCACTGATCTTCTCACATCCTTGCTATCATACAATCATAGAATGGTTTGGGTTGGAAGGGACCACACTATAGAACAATACAGTGGGTTGGAAGGAACCTTAAAGGTCATCTAGTTACAACCATTTCACCATGGGCAGGGATGCCATCCACCAGATAAGATTGCTCAGGACCCCATCCAACCTTGCCCTGAATATTTACAATGGGACACCCACAACTACCCTGGGCAATCTGTTCCTGTGCCTCACTATCCTCTGAGTGTAGAAATTCTTCCTAACATCTAATCTAAATCCCTCCTTTTTTAGTTGAAAATTGATCCCCCTTTATCCTATCACTATCTGCCCATGTAAAAAGTTGTTCTATTTTATAAGCCCCTTGTAAGTCCTTTCTTGTGCTTAGTACTCCAGATCAGGACACTGTACTCCAGGTGGGGTCTTACAAGGTCAGAGCAGAGGGAAAATTGAGATGAAGGGAGAAATGGAAGGGTTCTCTTAGTTGCTCATAAAAGCCTCATGATCTTCTAGAGAAATAGTTTGCACTACATCTGTGAAAGGACACAATCTAAGATATTTTTCCTCTTCAAAATTCCTTTAGAACTTTCCACAGGTCTCTCTTATCTCTATCTTTTCTGCAGAGCAGGTATTTATGAGAAAGCCTTCAAAAGCTCAGAGGTAGAAATGAATATAAATGCCAAAAATCACAGGACATCTTTCAAAATCTTTTGAAATTATGGAACAGGGTAGACCAAGGTTACCAGGAACACCTACAGAGTTTAGTAGTTTGCAGTTGAGAGTAATGATGAAACAGGGAGTCTCTTCTCCAAAAATCATATTTCTATCACTTCACCTGAGGACAGCTATATAATAAAACTTCAAATCTCTTCTGTGTAGCATGGAGGTGCAGACCTAAAATGCTTCTGGTTGTTTTAGTCTTAGATGCCACCCTTAAATTTCCATCTGAATCTTTCAGACCAGACAACGCATGAAAAATACTGCTCAAGTGTGTCTGATTTCACTCCTGAGGTGCTGCTCTCAGAGCCAATCTACCTAATTTTCATATATAGTAGAAATCAGCCCTAATTCCTTCCATGGATCTGGAGCATAAATTCTGTAGTACTTTTATGAGATATAAGGTTTATTGAGCAGAAATACATGTGGGCATTGTAGCCCTAGCAATCTGTAATGCTTCACTAAACATAATTGATTTTGAAAAAACAAGTGGACGTTTCCTCAAGTTTTTTTTTGTCTATGTTTGTTTTTGTCTATGACAAAAAGCACCTGGGAGTAGGAGAAACACACTGTCAACACCCTCCTGAGCAGCCAAGGAAGAAATCCAGTTTTTGTCAGAACTTGGTTCTCATCCATGATAGAAAAATCTGTGAGAAACCAATTTTGTTGCTCTGAAATTGTTAGTTATTTCACTGATCATTGCAAACAAAAAATGAGGCCATAGCCAAGAACTGAATCATAAGGACTAAAAGTTGAAATAACACTCAATTATGAAAAAAAATGACTGATAATACTACTAGGAATGAGAGCATTAATAAATAATTAGATTTCATTATAATTTTGGTAAACATTGCACTGTGCCGTTGGTAGATACATTTTAGGTGACTATAATTTTTCTGGTAAAAATTGTATCGGGGTAAGTTAAAGTGAAATCTCAATTACCTGTAAAGTGCTGAAAGTGGCCGCTTGTTGCCAGGTTTTGGTCTGTATGGTTTTGGTTCTCCTGCCATGTTGATATCTGAAAGCAAACATTTGGTATCAGTAAGTCAAACATCTGGAAGTTTGCAAAGGCACCTTCAAGTCACTGAAAATGAGTAAAAGGCAGTGAAAATGGACAGCATACTTAAAACACCTGTCTAGTTTTTACCTCTTCTGAATTGATGCCACAAAACTTTCAAAAAAATTTTTACTGTAATCATGAGGATTTTAGTCAATGATCTCAAGTCAAATTCTGTTGAGGAGGACTGCCATTGTTCTGAAGATTTCCCTTTAGGATCTAAAGAAATGCACACTGATCTTTAACTGCTAATCTATCATCCACTCAGAAAGTATTTATTTCCCATCCCAAATGCATCACTCCTTGGAGAATGAGAAAATCTGGGTTTGAAAATGTTCTTTCTTAATCAGATACTTACTCTTCTCAACAAGATCAGAAATCTTGTGAATGCTTTGAAAGTTGACTTATATTCTACCTGTAAATTTATGCTTGAAATATAAAAGAAAGTCAGCCTTATATAGATATATAATTTCTATGGAGATATATAGATATATAGCTTCTATGGACATTATTTTTGTTCTCAAATTTGTCTCTTCATTTGAATTGTACTTGAAGACATACCAGGAGATAGACATCTCATTATGATTGCTAGAACAGTTATATGTGGAGAAAGAAGCAGAGACCCTTCTGTGGGAATACCTTCTAGAGTTTAAGAAGCTGTCTGTATAAAAATAAATCTATATCAAAGAAGCTCCTCCATTCTGATTAAATGTTGCAAAATTGACTTTATACCGAATCATGTGGATAAAGTGAAACTTTTGTTTAGGAAACAAATTTCATGCAATTTGAGGGATGCTGCAGCTAAATCTCTTCTCAGCTTCAATAACATAAAAAAAGAGAAACAGTCAACAAAATCATCAGAATTATTTCAGTGTAAAATTGCTGTGACAGAACATCATGTCCTATGAAATGTGGAATCATGTGGTGGTTGACACTTGCAAGAAAATGCATGTTTTCAGTAAAGTCTATTTTAACCTGAGAAGTCTATTTTAACCTGAAATTGACTGTGGTGGAGGGAGATGAAGAAAGATAAGGTGTAGGAGTAGGGATAAACACTGTCCAGTGCAATGATGCTAAAACTCAAACATTTTTATTTATTATTTTTGACCTAAAAGATGCAGTGAAAGCCTGAGACTTATTGACTGGATAGTTTTATTTCACAAAAAATTAATACAAAACTCCCAATCTGACCTTTTTTAACAATCATGATTATTGAAAATGCATGTCCCTTAGACTTCCTTTTGACAGAAAATATTTTGCCAATGGAAATTTCAAACTTCAAATATTTAATAGAATTTAAAAAAAAATTTACACTTATTTTTGGTATTTTGATCTCAGTCAACATGTATTTAAAATTATACAAGGACCTGATATAAAATTATTTTATGTTGAACTATATAATATAAAATACTTAAGTAACATTTTCCTTATTTAAAGTATTTTGGTATAAAATCTGACTCCAGTTTCTACTGTAGAAGCTGTATTACTATTAAATATAAATTTTAATAAAATAATAATTTTCTTGTTTCTTCTACCTCTGAAATTGGAGAAACATTTGTAGACAGTTTTCATGCTTCCTTGAAATGCTTTCCTTCCCTTAATTTTAGCAATTGCTTTATTAAATATATATTATTTTTGTCTTTCATTTTCATCATAAGTTCAGCTATGATGATGCCCTTATTTCAAGATATATAAATTCTAATATGTTGAATCAACAAAGTAAACACCAAGAACTTCTAAAAGCCACTGAGGAATTTTGATAACTCTGTTGCATTTCCATTGGCTCCTGGAAACAGAATTAGAACAATATTTTTATCCTGTGACCTTTGTGATAATTAGACCTTTTCATACTATTTTTATATGTCAGTTTAAGGTCATTGACTGTGTTGGCTTTCACCATCTCCTACTACAAGCTGGACAGATTTTAAGAAAAAAAAAAGGTAGAATTATAATCTACTCTTGGGAAATACCTGAGGCAATGGTGTCTTCTTCACAATGCAATAATTTTCACATATTTTTTGCCTCTCATCTGCTACTGTTTCAGAGTTCTATCTTAAATGTTCTTCTCCTTAAACCCTTATTTACAGGTTTTCAAAACTTTTTCATATCTTCCTGGGACAGATCAATACTATCTTGATGGCTGTTCTTATAGACCTGCATTTGCAGCTCTACAGGACCCACTTTTAAAAAAGGTGAGTAGTGTAGGGCTGTTAAGGGCTGTAAGGGCTGTTAGTTATGTGTTCTCTTTATTCCAATCAAAAATGTCAGAAAGGTGACACTGTAAGAGGCACAGTGGCAAAGCTGTTCAGAATTAGTTAAGATTCCCTCACGTTTAAATAAATCTCTAAACAGTGATCTCTAACTTTATACAGATAGTAATAGCCCAAAATTCTCTTTAGCATGGGAAAGAGATTTTAGTTCATACAAAAGCTGTGCATATGGGGCTTTTCTGTTAATACGAAAGTGATTGAATAGCTCTGCAACTCCCTAAGCTCTTTGTAGCAAGTTAAGAATGGATGTAGGAAATGCTTTGAAAAGTTAGAAATACTTTCACCCCATTATTTTTTCAGCACTATCTCTTCCAGCCTCAATTTTCTAACTAAGATTAGAAGTGAACTTGTCAACATTTCACAAGATAGATTATTTCTATCCCAACTGGAAATCCTGTGAGATAAGCTGTTCTCTTCCTTCATCCATCATTTGTTTCACAGCAGACATTTACATCTACTAGATCATAAACTCTGTGTCAAATAAATTTGCTGTCAGCAGCACAGAGATTTACCTGTGCTAATGATTCCACCCCAAGGAATGCAGAAACATATCACTCCTTAAGCTGTCAAATTAGCTACTGCATTTGTACATGAATATGTACCAGACAACTTCTTTCACAAGGGACACAGACAGTCACATTTCTTCTAGAGAGGCATGGACTTGATGAACTGGCACCCCATGGATAAAGAAATGGCTTGGGGTCACACTCAAAAATGTATTAAATAGGTAGAATTTCTAGCGAAGACCAATGACAAGTGGCATTCCTTGGGGATCAGTACTGAGACTGGTGCAGTTTAACATCTTTCTTGGCAACACAGACAGTGGCATTGAGTGCACCCTAGCAGGTTTGCTGATGACACCAAGCTGTGTCGCCACTGGAGGCAAGGGATGTCACCCAGAGAGGTCTTAATAGGCATGAGAAGTGGACCTGTGTAAACCTTATGAAGTTCAACAAGGCCAAATTCAAGATCTTGAGCTTGGGTTTGGGCAATCTCAAGCACTGACTCAGGCTGGGTGGAGAATACATTTGGAACAGGATTAGGGGGTGAAGAGGAGAAGCTTGAAGTGATCTAGTGATGCTTGCTGCCCAGAAAGTCAACTGTAACCTGGGCTTCATCAAAAGGAGTGTGGCCAACAGGGCAAGGGAGGGGGTTCTGCCTCTCTGCTCTGCTTTCTAAATGTTGTATCCAGCTCTGGGGCTCCCAGCATAAGGATGTGGGCCTTTTTAAGCAAGTCTAGGGGAGGACCACCAAGATCATCAGAACAATGGAGCACCTCCCCCATGAAGGCAGGCTGAGAGAATTGGGGTTGGTCAGACTGGAAAAGAGTGGGCTTCAGAGGCACCTTTTAGAAGCCTTCTGATACCTGCAGGGGGTCTACAGGAAAAATGAAGAGGGACTTTTTACTAGGGCCTGTAATGATGGGACAAGGTATAATGGCTTCAAACTGAGAAAAGATTTAGATAAGACATTAGGAAGAAATTCTTTGCTGTGAAGGTGGTGAAACACTGCAGCAGGTTGCCCAGGGAATATGTGAATGCCTCATCTCTGCAAGTGTCAAGACCAGGTAGGACGGGGCTCTGAGCAACCTGGTCTGGTGCAAGGCGTCCCTGCCCATGTCAGGGAGGCTTGAACGAGATGGTGTTTAAGATCCATTCCAACCCAAACCATTCTATGATTCCATGATTGTATAATTGTATAATTCTATGTGGGAATGAGGCAGCCCAGGGACATTATTTTCTCAGCTTGTATACTAGAAATGTTCACTTAGATATCAATACCAAGATAAATTCATCACTGAAATTCAAAATACTATAGTAACACTATGAATGTCAAAGTGAATATGCAGAAAACATCACATTGTAACGCAGCATCCTGGTCTTATGTGCTTTCAGAATCAAATGAAATTACATTCTTTATCTAAAGAAATCCATTTTTAGTTCTATACTTTCCTGTTATCATGGCAGAGCTTAGTCAAAGAATGAAATTTAGATTTCATTCAAGGTTGTGTGTCATCAGCAGAATAGATCTGATTTTGAGCATGATACTTTTATTTGTAATTGTACTGAAAATCCCTGGTGATTAATAACAAAACATAAAAATAATTTTAAAAAGAGTATGATTGCCATTTTATAAGGGCACTCATTGTATTGAGTGGCTACATAAAATTGTCTGAAAAGACAACTCAACATAGCATAATCTACATTCCTCCTATCACTATTTCCTACTATTGACAGCCTACCTCTTCCAGACATAAACATCCCACTTTTGGAGAAGTATCTGCTAGTCCTTGTGCTTTGCTCCCAGATTCCTTGGCCAAGTAATCTGAGAATCTGGTCCTGAAGACAACAGCTGACTTCAAACAGGCTTTGTAAGTGCAAGCAGTGATACCTAAAGAGCATTCATACCCTAGAAGTATTTCAGTATTTCTAGGTATCCTTGCCATTCAGATTCTTCAAAAAAGTCTTAAAAAAATAAAAACAACAAAAAAAAAAACAGAATAATTTTGGTTCACAAAAACAAATGCCATAAACAAGAAGCTTCAACAGGCACTAACTGAATTAATGAAAACTGGATTTTGAGGCTTTCTGCTGCCAATCCGGATCCCATGTCTCAGGCTACATCTAACCTACAAAATTAAATGGACCCCTTCCAAGGCACTAGTACTCTTTTATGTGTTGTATTACATTG